TTCTTCTCACTGCATATGATTATAAAGAAAGTCTAAAGCAAAATCATTTGCTACAGCAAATTGTAGAGAGTATGCGGTAACAATGCAACTGAAACTAGCTATCATCTCCTTTCTTTTGTATAGAAGGATAGAGTTTTTGAAACAGCAGCAAACTGCGTATGCCAAAAATGAAAAGAAGTCTTTGTGAAAGTCAACTGAAAATCGGTAAGATTGCTAGGCGCGGGTAAAGGTAAAACCATTTTCTAAGAGGTGATTATGAGCAACTCAAAGTTCAGAGCGAAGTACGTTGAACTTCTATAAAATGATAGCAAAGCTAAAAAGGAAGAGCGGAGTTAACAATGACCTAGTGAAAATAAGTGCTGTAGATTTCAAATTATACTTATACGATGCTTGGCTATAAAAATTCCATATAAAAGACTAAATGCATTTTGATAAGCACAGCTGAATGCATAGGAGAAATCGGGTACTGTAAAATGGTATGTCCGCAATGGAAACGGCGCACAAAGTTGATTATTTGAATCCTACAAGATACTATCTCCGAAAAAATCTTTGTTTGAGGGTGAAATGCTATAAGAGATCGAGTAGCGGTTGAAATATGACACAATTGGATGTATTAGCAATTCTTAGAAAACAAAATGTAGAAGAAAGAGATACGAAATGCTCTACCTGGTCGCAATATTCTACAAATTGGATTTCTCGCTCGATGCCCGTAACTTCAGGATGAACACAGCTCTCAGGGACGATTTCCTGAATGAAATAAAGTGAAATTTACACTTTGGGGAGAAAAAATTACCTGCTTCTGAAGAGGATGAGTTGTAGGCGCAGCTTTTGCCGTTACGGATCGTGTAGCTTTCGCTATCGGCTTGCCAGTAGGACGTTCAGAAAGCTAAACAGCAGAAGAACATCTTGTTTTGGGTAAGGAAGGAGATACTGTGCTCAGACCGGTATGTTCGCTCCATTGCGCTGATCTTTCAGTGCTGGTCTCCTCGTCAACACTGCATCTTTCCCAGCAGCTGTTCTCTTCACTAGATTTTCATTGACATTTGATAGGGCTCTGGTGGTCCTCTGAAAGTATTTTTTACCAAGATAAACAAATTTTCTATCGAAATAAAGAACCTACCCTGCCTTGAATGTCCATAACTTCCAAAAAAAAAGCAGAAGAGATTAGAAACTTAGAGATGACTCTGTTAGTTTGCTATGATAGAGTAACAGTCACTGTAATATATAGAAGTACAGGTATAGGGTACAATTCAACCCTAGAGCGTGCTACCAATCCGCTCAAGGGGTTAGAATTTAGTAGAATGAACCCAACTCCCCAAGAAATCCAGCAGGAACATAAACTCACAAATATTGCAACCCGAGATGGAGGAACGTCGACGAGAGCCCGGTGGTAGGGTCTAGCGGATTTAAAACCACGTTTTTATGATGGACGGGTGGAAAAACTCTCGCGGATAGTTTTTCAACTCAAATTGACCGCCATACGAGGTGGACGCTGACCCGTTGCCTCGACCCGTCAGAGACGCAGATGGCAATGCGCGGCAGATTCGAATCTTTTTGCTGTTACAGTACTCAATTAAGGTCATCAACGGGAGTGATTGCACGATTTTACACTGCATAAATGTAGACCATATCTATTCAACCGTCTAGTGGCTGTCACAACCCAAAACTTACCCAGTTAATTATTTAACCTTGCTCTGGAGGGCTAGTCAGCCTCTACGCCAACGCTACCTTATGGGTTTAGAAAAGAAGACACTTAAACACATTTCAACCCCAAATTTTACAGATGACTTTAGAAAATATCGTCGATAGTTTTGATTAATAGAACCTTATATCCTCTTAGATGTATCTATAGTATAATATTGACTGATCAAATAACCTCGGGCCGTCCTTGACGGAAAATCGATTACGAGCCAAGTCAATAGCTC